GTTCCGTGTATAGAAGCATCTGTGGATGAAATGCACTAACGGCATTCTGGATATCTTGGATATTAACAGAATATCGTGGAAGCGGATAGTTTCATGACTAATCCACTTGAAATTAAGGACCATCTATTTCATATTCAATATCAACATCTATGAGCACCTCTTCTGACTTACATGGGATCGTTGCTCTACTATTTTGGCAAATATATACGTAAGCAAATCAGAAGAGGATTTCATGACGTCATCGTTGCAGCCAAGCGTATTCATGTGATACCTGGATGACTACTTAGCTCTTTGGTCGCATGGAAAGGAAAAAATTGACGACTGAAGTTTATAAACCAGAAGTTTCTTGACCTTATTTTCGCAACTTGGTCATATTGGTAGGAAGATCTAGAGGAACACACCTAGTCTGAAGTCCATAGAATGCATGATAGATTCCAGAGTAGGACCATGGACGTGGCACAGCTCCAGACGTATCGCCGGCATAGTAGTCGGAATCTTCAGTGAGTCTTGCCATTCTTCTTTCCCCCCGGGCTAATCACCAATCCTATATCCTCATATCACGCCTTTACTATCACGATTTTTATTTGCCTGTTTAAATGTCGTATGGTGTGTCCTTTTGAGTGAATCTCATGGGAACTCTCCACACTGCACGCTGGCTTTCTCACCGCACCCCTCCATCACCCTTGTGCTAGGAATGTTGGTCCCGTAATTTTCAAGTTTATTATTCATCCATATATTTTGCCTTTTGCTTTTTTTCTACCTTGGTCTTCGAAATTTTGACGAACAGTGTCAAATTTTATTTCATTTTATCCCTGCTTTCTTGTTATGGTTGATGCATTTTTGTGACTCCAGCATATTTCGCTATTTCTTGCCCTATTATTGCTCCTTTCCCATCATTTAGAAATAGCCTATAAACCATTACGTTTTACTTTTTTAACCATGGTCCATTGCATTTTCCAGATTGCAGTTGCTACTATCTTTCACAACCTCGCCTACCTCTCCTATATGCTGCATCAATCTTCTACTTCCGCAATCCAGGTGCTAGCGCGCACTATGCCCCGAGCCCACCTCCTGCCAGTCCTCTGTCTTCGAGTCTGTCTCGGGCAACTTTTCGCAGCCACTCAAAGCCCAGTCGGTTCGGATTCCTCTGTAACATATGTGACAAGAGTTCATCCAGAAGCTGCGTTTAGACTTCTTGTCAGTCTAGGAACTGCACTTTCCATGCTAAATGATCAGGTTGCTGCTGATACATCTGCCCAGTCGATTAAGCAGATTCAGAAAGCTCATGTGGCCCGTCTTCTGGCCTGTGCTTATTCTGCAATCGTGTCGACCCTGAATGGCTCCTCTTCTGATAGTAACAAAAATTTAGATACTGAATCCACTGAACAAGAAGCGGAACATTTCGAAAAGGCTCGTGGAATCATTGAGATATGGGCCAAATCAGC